GCTGAGGAAAGAAACGAGATCCGTTGGCTTGTTTTGACAGTCGGGGCTGTTTAGCAGGAGAGCCGTTTTTAATAAGGAAACCCTGGTGCCTCAAGGCCTCCCAGCCAATTAGCAGGCGGCACCCAGGTGACTCTCTCAATAATTAAATGGGCCTGTCGGGTCCTCCAGGCCCCGTTCTTTTTTTTTTATTATTATTATTTTTTTAAAGATTTTATTTATTTATTTGACAGAGAGAGACACAGCGAGAGAGGGAACACAAGCAGGGGGAGCGGGAGAGGGAGAAGCAGGCTCCCCGCAGAGCAGGGAGCCCGATGTGGGGCTCGATCCCAGGACCCTGGGATCATGACCTGAGGCGAAGGCAGACGCTTAACGACTGAGCCACCCAGGCGCCCCTTGGGCCGCCATTCTTGATGTGCCTTTCAAGTTTGCCCGGCTGCCGGTTCCGTTGCAGACTGGTGCCAACGGGGCTGTTGCCCCCTCCCCCGCCCCCCCCCATGCTGACCACTTCCTTCTCACCTGCTCCTGGGCACACCTGGGCACACCTGAGGAGATGGGACTGACCCTGATGGTGTCCTGGTGCCGGGCCCTCCCACAGCCCCACCGCACTTCATCCTGAGGTGTTTCAGAATGGGAAACTGAGGTCCGGCCAGAGAAATGAGCTGCCCCAGGAACCCTCCAGCGCTATTGTTCCCCCATCTGTGGGACTAGGTGGCCAGCACTGAAGTTCCCACGTTCCAGGAGACTCCCTAATCCCAGGCAGACCAGACGGCGCTGTCCCTTGTAGGGCAGTGCTGGGTGCTGGGGACCCCCAGGCCTCTGGGGCCCAGTCTGCTCTCTGGGGGCCTTGGGCCCATCTCACCCTCCAGGATGGGAACCCAGGGCACTGGTCCCCACCCATCTCTTGGACACACCAGGTGGCCAAGGAGGACCTGAGCCATCCATGACCCTGCCCTTGAACACGGACCTTGGAGGTCACTTGCAGGGAGCGTTCTGTGAGTCAGAATTCCAACTTACTTCTGGAACACGCGAAGTGAAAGATGAAGTTAGGATGTGTCTCAGATCCTGGATCCCTTTCATCTGAATGTCCGCAGAACGTGGGAAAATGAACACTGTGTCCTAGATTCTCTGGATGGTGCTGAGTGACCTTGAATACCCACATCGGAGCCAAGCACTGACCCGAAGTGTTCTTCCTTTCCAGAGTATGAACTTTTGTTTCCAGGGAATGTTCTTTCTTCGGAAGCATGGGGAGAAAGAGCTCTGTGGGGTGGGTTGGAGACCCCTGTGGGGGTGCTGACTCTGTGTCCCCTGGCGGCGGGCCTGCCCTCGGGGGCTGGCTCCAGGAGTCAGCACCTGGAGCTGTGACAGTTCAGGAGGCCGTGGGGACCTTGAGGACTGCCTGTGTCTGAGCTCTGGACTGGGCAGGTGGGCTCTTGGGGTGGGCCACCCAGCAGGGAGGGAGGGCGACGCACGCTGTCATTTACAGGACACTTGCTGGGTCAAAGGACCTGAGTTTAGAGACTCACTGCATTATCTCATTTAATCTCAAGTGACTACCACTGACATTCTACAGTTGGGGAAACTGAGGCAGAGAGGGAGCATTCCCTGTTCAGGGCCACGTAGTGAGTCTGGATTCGAACCCAGATCTTGGTTCTTAGCTCACTGCTCAGGGCCTTCCAAGAAAGCACACCCTAACCATTCCCCATATAGCCGAGCTCCTGGAGTCTGTCCTGAGTGGACCCGAGATCGCCACCTTCAGCTCCAGGACCCCCAGAGCATCTGGTCTGCCCCCTTCCAGGCCATGCATCCTTCCCCCGTGTACCTGTAAGCACAGTTGCCCATGTGGGCACTTTTCAGAAGCCATAGTTTTTTAGCAGATTCTCAAAGAAGTGCTGAGGATGAAGACCAGAGCCTGATTTATCGATCCCAGAGCTTCTCCCTGAAGCAATGACCAACGGCAGACCCAAAGGGGCAGCTCAGAGCAGGTGCCCGGTAAATACCAGTGAATGAGTGAAGGAGAACGCACGAGTGATTTGGAACTAGGAGTTGGGCTCTCATCTGTTGTTTGTTCAGGGGTTTAGGCTCGGACACCCTCTCAGGGTGCCCTGTTTTCAGGTCCCCTTCCTCTAGCTGGTGACTCCTCGTTCCCCCAATCGTCCTGTGCAGCTAGGCTGTGCTGGCCTCAGCCACTGGATGCTGAAATAGTCCTTGTGGGGGGAGGTGGGATTGGGGGGGGCTCCTTCAGGAGCAGTGGTGCAGACCTCTCTCTCGCTGCCTCCAGGGGGAGGGCGTACTGGGGAAGCTTGGTGGGGAGGGGGCTGGATACTGCCTGACGCGTCTCTGCTTCCGGCCCAGGCATCCCCTTCATTCCCTTGGCGGTCCAAGTGGGAAACTTGGCTTCCCAGAAGCTGGGCTCAAGGAAATGCGTGCTCAGGAAGGGTCTGATGGGACAGGAGGAGCCCATCCTGCTGGGGGGGACCCGGGGGACCTGCTCTGGTGTTTAACCCACGATCATTTCTGTGCAGACCATTGTGCTATGCATCCTTCTCATCCCCTCCTCTTAAAGAGCAGATTAACGGGCGCCTGGGTGGCTCAGTTGGTTAAGCGACTGCCTTCGGCTCAGGTCATGATCCTGGAGTCCCGGCATCGAGTCCCGCATCGGGCTCCCTGCTCGGCAGGGAGTCTGCTTCTCCCTCTGACCCTCCTCCCTCTCGTGCTCTCGGTCTCTCATTCTCTCTCTCTCAAATAAATAAATAAAAATCTTAAAAAAAAAATGAGAGCAGATTAACTCCACTGTTAACGTCGGCATGTCTGGTGAAGCCTGGGGGGGAGGAAATTGGCGGGTAGATGCGGCATGGCAGGGGGGGTCTGGATGATTCGTGGTACCTGAGACAGAAGGATGGAGCCAGTCCTTGCTGTAGCGTGACCCCTCAGGCTTTAAGATCCAGTGGGAATGCAGCCCCATACGGTGCCCTCTGTGCAAATGGGTGTCCCCAGTGTTAAACCAGGGTCAGTGTTGTAAAGTCTCAGCTCAGGGGTGACTTGAATACGTCTGCTTGGGTTCTCAGAACCTCTTCTTTTTTTTTTTTTTTTTTAAAGATTTTTATTTTTATTTATTTGAGACAGAGAGAATGAGAGACAGAGAGCATGAGAGGGAGGAGGGTCAGAGGGAGAAGCAGACTCCCTGCCGAGCAGGGAGCCCGATGCGGGACTCGATCCCGGGACTCCAGGATCATGACCTGAGCCGAAGGCAGTCGCTTAACCAACTGAGCCACCCAGGCGCACTCAGAACCTCTTCTTGAAGATGCTTTCCTGTATCTAATTCAGGGCTGCCATTTGTTGTTGTCTTGGGGGTGTGGGGGGAGGAAAGCCTGAGACTGTGTGACATCCATCCATCTGTCCACCCATCCGTTCGCCAACCCACCCACCCAACCCCTCCCTGAAATCCTGGACACTCCTCCACCCCCCCACCCCACATCTCATTCATGTGTCCATCAACCCACAGATCAACCACTGTTCCACCCACTGTCCTCCCAGACAGCCATCCGTCATCCACCATGTATCTGTCTGTCCATCCATCTGTCCATGCTCTTCTAGTGACAGGGTCCATGCTGGGCAGACGTGGACCCAGGCCGAGAGCATGGTCAGATCTTCCCACATGAGGTGGGGTTGAATGGAATCTTGAAGGGAGCTGGGTCTTGGGGAATGGGGTGGGGCAGGGGACTGGGGGCAGAGTGGACGGGGACAAGGCGGCCCCTACCCCGTGTGTTCCTGTCTCCTCTTGGGGCCAGCTCCCGGCAGCCAGGCTGGCCGCCCCTCCCTCTCCTGCTCTGGCCCACGCTGGCGATCATCTGTCTTTGGCTGTGGCAGAAATGGGCTGGGTTTGGGGTTCCATTCTCGAGGGAGCTCATCGCCCTGAACGAGGATGTTAGGATGCAAGGAGCAGATTCTGTTCTGCGGCATTCTGAGCTGCCCAGCTGACAGAGCAGCACCCCGCCCCACCAGGAACTCTGTCCCCCGCCCCTCTGCAGGTGTTCACCACGTGGGACGTCAGCCTTAGGATTCGACGGTGCCAAGGTCACTGTCACCCTTATCAGGAGCAGTTTGGTTGGGGGAGTGGACACAGGTTCAAGGCCCAGAGAGGAGGTGGCGTGGGAGAGATGGTGGGGGAGACGAATGGACTGCTCCTCGGGCACGAGGCTGAGGAAGGGGAACGTGGCGGGGCCCGGGATGTGGCATCAGGGGACGGCTTACCCGTGGCGATGACCCAGGAGGGAGGGAACATCCGTGCGGCCATCGAGTGGACACTAAGGAGACTGCCGTGCTCCATCTGGGGCCCCTTGCCCCTGTGGCTCCCTTTCCAAAGGGGAGACAGGTCCTTTGGGAAAGCTGCCAGCACTTTTCAGGACATGCTCTGACCCCAAGCCAGGCTTCCGTGGGCTGGTGGGCAGGATGGCAGGACAGTAGCCTTCTCAGAGGCCCTGGCATGTGCCCGGGATGATGGGCAGCCTCCCACATAGTGCACTCGGCCATTGCCCTCGGGCATGGAGGGTGGTGGGTGCCCCTGGAGCTCCACCGTCCCTGCCAAAATGCCCTCCTGCATCCTGTCCTCCAGGTGGATGGAGCCGGCAGCCCTCTCAGCCAGGGCTAACCACAGGGTGCCCCAGGAGCCCACATCCCCGTTTCTGGAATCCCCCTGAAATGCAGAGGCAGGTGTGTCTCAGCGGCGAAAGCTTCCTGCTGTCCCTGACCCAGTTCCTTCATTTGCCAGTGGGGTTGGCGGGGGCCTATGGAGAGTGACCTCCAGTGTCCTAGGGTCAAGCTGTGCTCTCCTCACCCTGGACACCTCCACCTGCTGGTTCTGACGCACGAGCCACTGTCGTGCGGACCTGCTTCCTTCCGCGAGAGCAGAGCCCTCCTTTGCAGGCCCATCGGGGGTCACTTGGGCTGGGCGCCCAGCCGGGCCGAGGAGACCTGCTCACCTCCCTCCCCTCTCTCCACAGGCCCTTTCCCTCGGAGGAGACCACCGAGAATGACGACGATGTGTACCGCAGCCTGGAGGAACTGGCGGAGTAAGGAGCTGGCGGGACTGGGTCGGGATGGGATGGAGACGGGGATGGGGGAGTCGCGGCCCCACTCTGGGCAGAGCTGCCCTGCCGTCCCACCCAGGGCCTCTCCACGCGGTTGGTGGTGGCATGCGTGCCCCCAGCTTCATGAGAGCTCAGGCGGACGAGTGCTTCTTCACTTCACGCCTCCTTCCGTGTTCTGGAAGGTTCCCCAACTTCTGCTGGGGGTGGAGAGAGCTGATGTTTCCAGAAGCAGGGGCCTCTGGAGCTCAGGCTACAAGCAGAGGCAGTTTGTGGGTGGTCTTGTGGCCCAACAGAGGTGGGTGAGGGGCCGAGACCAGGCCACCTGAGGCCACGGGGGCATCTCCCCCCTTCTCCATGACCCCAGACTCACATCGCTCTGTCTCTGAGGACTCCCCTATTCCATCCTCACGCGGCCCAGGTCTGGCCACCCTCCTGGCTGTTTCGCCTCACAGTCCTGGAGCCCCCAGGAACCAACGAGAAGCCTGGGGCGGTGGTCCGGCTCTGCAGGGTCAGCGGTGGCCAGGGATGGGGGCCATGCAGCTACTGCTCAGGGAAGGGGCCCGGGCAGCTTCCCTGAGGAGGGGCAGGGGGATGGAGGAGGCAGGGTACACCATTTCCGCAGGCGAGGAGGCTCGAGCAGTGATGGGCTTGTCCTGGCCCTGGGCTGGTGAGTGGGGGCCCCAACCTGGCTGGCCCCCTGCCCTTCCCAGCCTCCTGCCAACTGGACCCCTCGCTCCCACTTGACAGCAGACGTGGCTTTGCCCCGGAGAAATGGCTGCTGCTTCTGGGGAGACTTACCGTGCCCCTCGCCTTCATCAGCACAGACTAGGAGTGAGACCCAGTAAGAGCTGGTGCTTCCTGGGCGCCCTCCCAGTGCTGAGGCTCCGTGCTTCGTGCCCACCCTCCCATCCAGGGCCGCCTCTAGGGCGTGGGGCCCGGCAAGCGTTTTTGCAGGATCCCCGTCGATGTAAACACTCTGAGTCACCAAAACCCAACATGTCAGCACCATGCTGGTGGCCCGATCCCAGGGGAGCCTATGAATGAGGCAGCTTGCCGGCCAGTTGGAGTGGCTACGCCAGCCCACCTTCCTGAGCCTGGGCTGGCCCCAGGGCCCTGGGATGACCCTGCTGTGTCGGGTGGGGTGCCCTGGGGTACCTGTTGGCTCCGTGCAGGTGCGAGGTCTGGAGAGTGCCCTGAAGGAGACACGTGGGGGCCGGGGTCCACACTAGTCGTGTCTGGGTCCTGGAACACCCTGCCTGCATGCCCTGACCAGTCCCAGGAATCACAGAGGGACTTGGCTGTCGAGAAAGGGGCCTCGTGTGGTGCGGGCCTGAATGACAGGCTGCTCCCCCCACCCTGCGAAGGGTGGGGAAACTGAGGCTCAGAGGCACAGCTGGAGGGAGGTCTCCCAGGGGGAGGCCCAGCCCATCCACCTTCTCCCCTGCTGCTGACAGCAGTCCCCTCGCTTGCTGAGCTCAGGTTGGAGGTGCCTCTTGTCCTCTCTTCCTGGCATTTCTTGCCTTGAGATCCTTCTCATCTGCCACATCTGGGCCTGGGTATCCCCCACTTGGGAAGCCTCTTGTACCACCCCCCTGACTCCGAAGGGCACCCACAAGCCCGTTTGGCCTTTGGGCTGCCCGAGGGATGCACCATGATTACGTGGTGAAATGTCTGTGTTCTGTAGACCGGCGGGTTCTGAGGTCAGACCCTGTGTCTTCTTCATGCCCCCCCACCTTCAGCCCCTAGCAGCACTCACCTCATGCACACAGTGTGACAGCAAGTCCCACGCGGTAAGGACAGTGGTGGGGGTGGTACTTACAAGAGCTTTTGCAGGGCCTGGCATTGCTGAGACTTCGTCTCCTTATATACACCCGCACCATCTCTTTGTAAGGTCTGCTCTGCGGGGTCCCCATTTCACAGACAAGGAGCTAAGGCCCAGGGCCCAAGAGCCCCCGTCAGGTGCGGAGAGTGGGGTCCTCAGCTGCCATTTCTCCTAAGTCACCAATGTGAGGCTGAGGGTCTTCTCCCTCCAGAGGCATCCCTCCATGGTCAGCACAGACCAAGGGCTCCAGGAAGACAGGGTCATGCTGGCTTCGTGCAGCCCAGACCGGGCATGAAATATGTCCTCGGGCCAGCCAGGGAGCCTCCCCTTCACAGCCACGTGGGGATCCCTGCCCCCTCCGGCGGCGGCTGGTGTACGTTTGGGGTTGTGTTCCTGTGCCCTGAGTCCCGCAGCGGCCCTGGGGTGCTCATTCCCCCCGTGACCGATGCCCGGAACCGGACATGGGACATGACTCGGCTCACACAGGGAAGCCAGGCGGGCCTTGCCAGCACTCTTATTCCGTGACATTAACAGTGCGCCTCCTTCGTCCAACGAGTTCCTTATGACTACGGTTATTGACAACATAAATCATAAATTACAGGGAAGGGGGATGAATTTGAGTCTTTAACTCATGTTTTGGTCCCAGTGGTTCCAGTTTAATAAATTTTTCATGCTTTTCTCCCCCCTTCTCCTCTCACTGAAAAACACGATTTCCTAGCATCTTGTCTCCATGGGCTGGGGATTGATATTTATCCATTATGGCAAATGACGAGACACAAACGGACCTGCCTTTGCTTCCCTGGCCCTGCTGGGGGAGGGGAGGTGGCTGTGAGTCTCCGAGGCTGGAGCTGGGGCACTGGTGTGGATCCCACGGCCGGCGGTGGCAGGGAACAGGCAGTGACATTTCGAGCACAGCCGGCTCATTCTTTGCCTTGGGCTCTTGGCCAGGCGTCCGAAGTGATGATCACCTTGTGCTTCCGAAGGGCCCTGCCGGTCGCCCAGACCTCAGACACGGAGCAGCTGTTTGAAGTGGTCGGATGCTGGCTCCCCCGCAGGGAAGCTGGTGTGGTTCTGGGGCTCCGGCGACGGACCGCCACGTGTGAGTGGCACCATGTATGCTTTTCCTTCAGTCGATCACCTATCTGTTCAGGGGCCAGCTAAACACCAACGCTTCCTGTGTGTCGGCTCAGGGTCGGGAGCTGGAAACGTAAAGGGGAATGAGACCCGCCCCTGCCTCCTAGGACCCCAGGAGGGTGGGGTCACGTGGGTCTCCCAGGGGGGACCTTTTGGAACACCCCTTAGAGGGCATGTTCTTACTGGGGTTGTCTAGAGCCTTCACTGTCCCCAATGTCCCCCAGTGTCCTCAGCCCACAGGACATCACTCCATGGCGAAAGCCCCCTTCCGGTCCACCTAGAGCAGGTATCTCGGCCGTGCAGGAGAATCTGTCCGTCCTCCTGCTGCCACGTCTTGTGTCCGAAGCAGCAAAGCCTGTCCCATCGGACGTGGCTTGGGAGTCTGGGCTCTGTCACCTCCTACTTGCATGGTCTTCAGCAAGTTACCCACCTCTGTGCCTCGGTTTCCCTATGTGTAACCCATAGGTGTCAGGATCGGCTTCAGGAAGAGCATCCGTGATATTGTGGGGGGCACAGCGCCCGGTGGGAACACTCTGAGCCCTCAGGCGAGGATGGGGGTGCCTCTCTACCCGTTTCACCAAAACTGGCTTTTTCCCTGGGTTTCCTAATGGCCGTGGCAACACTGTCCGGCAGGCCACATGCGTGATTGTAGGTTTTCTAGCAGAAACAGAAGTAGGTGCAATTAATGGTAAGAATGTATCTTTCTTTAACCCCGTATATCCAGAATCAGTACTAGCTCAGTGTGGAAGCCGGCACAACCGATCCCTGATGCGGTAGCTTGCCTTCTCCCCCGTGGCTCAGGGTCCAGTCTGCATGCTTGACGTGGACAACACAGCCCCGTTCACCGGGCCACGTTTGTGTGGCTGGTGGCCCCAGTGTGGGCGGCTTGGGTGTTGGATCCAGAACACGGTTCCAGGAGCTCGTGCGGAGCCCTCCCCACGTTTGAATGGATGATGCTGGACTAACATTATGTTCTCAAGTGCTCTAAGCTCACTTTTGAGATCACTGAATAATGTATAATCGAATAATAGAGCAGCTGGTTGAAAAAATTAACACGAGATATTGCCACTTAAATGGCCTATTTCAAGCTCCCGGGGCGCTGTCACTGACCGCGGAGCTGAGAAGAGAGGCACTCGGCTCCTGCTTCCCAGCCTCCTCTACATGCTTCTGCAACGATGTGGGGGGCCGTGCTCTCCGGGTCTTCTCCCGGCATTTGGACACGGCAGCTTTGGGATTTGGAACCTACACCTTTTCTGTGTTTTGGAACTAGGAAGGGATGGAGGGGTTTCTTGCCCCAAATTAGGCCAGGGGGCTCGGGTGGGTCACAGTAACAAGACACCCCAGCTCCGCTCAGCCGAATTGCCTGGGGATGCTGGCAGTGGGAGGCGGGGATGGGGTGCCAAAGCCCACCGTGACAGATGGCGGGCCATGAAGGGCGGGACTGTGTGGAAGGTGCCTGGTCCCACAGCTGCGTGGGGAGGCTCCTGTCTAGAAGGGTCGCTGGAGCTCGGAGAGATCATGGGCACATGGCCTCAGGCTGCTTCTCTGCGGCTTCGTGACCAGGCTCTGGCTTTGCTCTGTATCATTCCTCGTCCTTTCAAGGGGCCTTGGTTGCCCGGGTGACACCATGCCACTCACTGGGGGCGTGCTGGCGAGTGCCTGCTTACCCGAGGCTGAGTAGCAGCAAAGGCGACGTTCTGTCTTTCTCAGGGCACGTCAGGTCCTTCATTGGGCCTCAGTTTCCCTACCTCTGAAATGAAAGCAGCAACCGACGGAGTGTGTGTCCCTTCGAGCTTGAAGGATCCAAGGCTTTATGACCGAGGAGCCTGCTGCTTAGCACTCCCATCACTTCCCTGGGAGTCAGAGTGATTTTCGGGCTTAAACAAATGTGATTGGGGCATGGCAGGGGATATAATTTATCCATAAATGTATAGCTGCATGCTTTATTGAATCGTAAAATGAATTTGCAGCTTTAAATGTGTCGTATTAGCATCGTTGGGATAATTTTTTAAGATGCATAGAATGT